GTGTGTTTTGAAAAGTAGTCTGTATTTGTTATTATGAATCATTGTATATATCTCCAATTTTCAATATAGCCAGTTTTATAGGAATTGGTTCATTACTATGGTTTATATATATGTCAAATGTTTGTATATTAGGAACTGCCTGTAATAAAAATGATAAAGATGAAAGTCAAAAGGATAGATTGGTTAAATAGATTAGGCTTTAAAATTATAAACATAAAGACCTCTATAAAATGTTTAAAGGTATGTAAAGCTACATGAGAAAACACAACATATCATACATACTATGATTACCATCCATGCCATGGCAGATGATCAGAAAGAGATAAAGTTTATTAGATTATATAAAAGTGTTTGTTAAAGTGGCAAGATTATGGAGTCACAAAATATTAAATGTATATACTAGTATAATTTTGCTTTAACAATTACTTGTGAAAGGGGGAAAATGGAAAATTTTCAAGGTTAAAAACTCCTAGGTAACAGCTACACTGATCTCCCACCTTTTCAAAATTCGTTTTTGAACGTCTGTTATGGTAGGCGGCAGCTCACCTGAAAGTTGGCTTTCGGAGCCCACCTGCTGGCTCCAGACCAGAAAGGCCTGCTGCTGCGGGTCAGGAATGCCTCCATCCAAGCAAACCCTGCTTGGCTGCACCTGGGGTCTCCGTGCAGGGGAATCCACTCAAAGAAATCAGATGGTGGTTTGGTTGGGTTTGATTTTGAACAGAGCAGCGTCGGGTGGTAGAGGGAGCCTTGGGGAAACTACCACCGCTCTGAAATGTAGGATGATATAATCCACCCATCTTCTAGAGGCCCACCGACGTGGCACAAGCAGTTAAGCACTTGAGCAGCCAAAAGCTTGGGAGTCCAAACCCACCCAGCGCACCTCGGAGGACAGGCCTGGCCATCAGCTTCTGAAAGCTCGCAGCCTCGAGAAGCCTGAGGCACACGGCTCTGCTCTACACACGTGGTGCCGCCATGAGTCAGAACTGACTCCTTGGCAACGATCAGCTACGCACTCCGCGGTTTCACTGGAGCACAGGAGAGGATGGCCCTGCACTGCCTTCTCATCGTTCTGTTTGAGCCTGTTGTTGCAACCACTGTGTCCATCCATCTCATCCAAGGTCTTGATAAGATAGATTTTTTTTTTTTTTTAATTT